GGCCAGCCATTACCTGGACTTGACTATTTAAAATATGAAATTTCCAGGGTTATAGAAGATAAAGCCAGGTCAGTCTCTTTGGCTTCCTCCTACCTTTTATTGTTCATAACTATTCACAACTACTCATAATTACAGATTCTCCACTTCGTTCTATATAGTTCCATTCCGTGTTGAACGCCTTGACCGTGGAACTATGGTCATTTTCAGGATTTCTTTTAAAATTGAAGGCAGAAGTTCCGAATCAAATGTGAGATCTGCCCCTCACATGTTGTCAGTGATGATCAATACTGAGATTTAGAAATCATTTATTGTTATTTTTAACGAACTGGAGAAGAATCAGGGTTATCCCTACCATCACAGAGCAGGCTGTACACCAGTGAACCCTCTTACGTAGCAGAGAAAGGCACAGTGTCTCTCACAGCGGGAACCCTGGGAGTCGTGTATTATCCCGAGCAAGCTCCCGGGAGTGTCCTCTCCTCAGCCTGACCTCCCTGTGTGATGAGAAGCCCTGGCCTGTGGCACATCCGACGGCTCTCAGCAGCCTCCTCCTTACTCTTGCTGTTCGACAAGTGGCAGTTCACAGCTAGTGGCAGTTCCGACCACCACGACTCTATCCCAGCTGGAGGCATCTGGCAGTGTCTGGGGTGCTGTTAGTTGTTGCAAAACTTTGGTGATGAAGGATAATTCACTACACTACTGACATTTAGGGAGGCTAAATGCAATGTCTACGACAGTCCCATCCACCCAATATGCCAATGGTACCCTGTTGAGAAATACTGCGTCTGCATCCACATTTTCTTCCGAGGTTTCTGTTGCTTGCACACCACTAATGAGATATTTCTACTTAATCACAATTAAGCCCAGGGAAAAAGTTCCTCTCAGTTTCTCTACCTTCTGAAAGGTGAATCTGTCAGAGCGGCAAGTCAGCAGCGAGTGAGTTCCACCTTTAGATTGAGTTCTGATGTCAGGATATCTAGGCTCTCAAGTCTGGCACATTTCAAGTCTGCATAGTTTTAATTTATATAAGCACCTTCTGAATCCCATGGCCTTGGACTTAGTCTATGCTAGAACTTCACAAAGACTTCTACTCCCTTCTCTTACTCGCCCTCGACAACAGTAATAACAGTGGCTATAATTTACTGCATTCCTGTCAAGTGCCAGGTAAAGATACAAATGATTTTTCATACGGTATCTCATCTAGATCTCACATCCCTGGAAGGTAGCAGACTATCTAGTGTGTAAGGATATAGACTCGAGTCAAACTGTTCTGCTATTTACTACCTATGTAATCTGACCAGTTATTTAAACCCTCTGGCTGAGTTTCTCTGCTGTATAATGGATATGATAAATGGACTTACTTATAAAGTTGTTGATGATTAAATGAGATATTTAGAAGTAAGTACCATATAAGCATTTGTTAAATACTCCTATTTTACAAAAAAAACAAAGTTTTTACAGTGGTATCATTTGTCCACAGGTTATAACTGCATAGACCAAGATTTAGACCTAAACTGTTTGAGTCCGAAGCTTGCACTCCAGCCATTATGTCCTACTGCCCCTCCAAGATCTTTTTAACAGGCTCTATCTTCGGGTCTAAGTATGGATCTCACAGGCTCCATCAAATTTAGTGGACTTGCTTGTCTGGCCATTAAATCTATTTCTTGGTTTTGGATGATACCAAAGGTATCATGTTTAATTCCTTTTATTAAAATTTCAAATTCATTCTGTTGTTTACATTATACTCTCAGAGGACCCACTTCTCCAAAAAAAAAAAAAAATCCCATTTTCACTTATTCATATTTTAGTATAGTGTGTTCCATCAAAGAAAATATTTGTCAGGAAACTGTATTAAACTACTGAGAGAGAGAACCACGCGTTGCTGTGTCTGTGGTATACTTTACATTAATCTTGAAACCAGCTGTATTTTTAGGATGGCCTCAAGAAAACATGAGTCAGACTTAAAAGCATTCCAGAAATAGAAACAAGATGTAAGACTGTACATTACGAACATCTGCAAAACCAACCGCCAAATCACCCTGCATAACCTAACATGGACACGGCCCAGGGCGCAAGAGAGAGCCCCAGCTTCAGTGTTCAGGCACGAGATGCTACCTTCTAGGAGCGCACACAATGACAAAACCATGTCCCTGTAACACCAGGGAGCTTGATCCTATATTCCGTCATTTCCTTCTCTGTGTAAAAATAAAACATCTGGTTCATATTGGGCTAAATTCTTCATTCAATTCCTAGCCAATATGTGTTTCAAAA